TGGGCTGCAGCAGCTGACCAGCACCGATTGTCCAGCACTCCCTAGTGAGATGAACCCAGTACCTCAGTTGAAAATGCAGAAATCACCGGTCTTCTGTGTCGCTCGACTGGAGGTTGGAGACTGGAGCTGTTCCTATTCAGCCATCTTGCTCCGCCCCCCTGCAAAAATACTTTTTAAACTCTCAAGTTGTTTCTCTGTGTTTTACTGATATTCTTTGGTGTTTTCTTAAAACACATGTTTCAAGGTCTTTGACTATGAGACCACACATCTTCATCACTTTAGTGTCAATCTCTGGTGCTTTAGCTTTCAAGTCATGGTTTTATGAATGTATTTGATGCTTGTGGGCATCAAATAAGCACATTACATGATTAGGTATTTATTACAGCCTCAGCGGTCTGGCTTTGTGCTTATTCTTTCACAGATTCTAAGCAGGTTGGTTCTTGTGTTCTCCTATGGTCACTGCTTCTTTTCAGCATTAGAGGGCGCTCTAAGCCTAGGTTTGCACATGTTCAAAGTTGCTGTGTTGTTCTGGCCGGAAAGGACTAGAAGAGGGCTTGAAGTGGCTACTCCAACCCACTGGCTTTGCAAGTTTCCTGATGGGACTGGGACAGGTCCAGAGATTCTGTTTATGGTCCTCTGGTTGGGGTCAGGCACTTTAGTGCTCTGCCCAGTGTGAGGCCCAGCACTGGGCTTCATGGCAACATGTGCCTGCTTCCCTCTCCTTCCTTTAAGCAGACACTGCCTCTGTCTGTGCTGTGCTTCCTGGGGTAGGGGAATGATGAGACTGGCAGTCTCATGGCTACCACAGCTGCTGTAATGCTGAGTCACACCCAAAGCCCACAGCCAGAGACCAGCACAGCACAGAGTGATGCCCAAGGCCCACACTGCTACAACTGCCTGCCACTGAGGTTTATGTGTGTCTCAAGGCTGCTGCAGAGCGTCAGTGGTGATGTGGGCTGGGAAACAAGACTGTCTCACCAAGGCTGTGGGTCTCTATCTGGCACTGTGGCGGGTCCAGCAGCTCTGTCCACAGGCACCAGCCTGGAGTCAAGGCCACTGGGTTTTGCCTAGTGTTGGATTTCACCATGGCCAGCCTGGCACTGGGTTGCCAGGCAAAGCCTTGAGCTCATGTTCCTCTCCTTTTCCCTAGTAGATAGTCACTTCCAGTATTGTGCTGCTGAGGAATGGTGGGGGCAGTCCCTTGGTCACCAAGGCTTAGCTGGGCAATGCCCAAAGCTCATGGAAATTGGAACCAGAAAAAAACCTGGAGCATGTCCCAGACCAGTGCTGATATGCTCCGCCTGCTGCTCAAGTTTACTCATCGCCCAATGCCACTGGAGAAGGCCAGCAGTGATACAAACCAGAACCTGAGACTGTCCTGTTGGGGCTGCAGTTTTCCACCAGGTGCTGGGGGGAGTCTAGGGACTTTGTCCATGGGTCCTGGTCTGGGGTCAGGACTGTAGGGTTCTCCCTGGCACTGCATTTTACTGTGATGGGCCCAGCACTGGCCTTCAAGTCAAAACTCTTCACTCTCATCACTTTCCTTCCTCAAGTCAGCCATGTCCCTGAGCTGCACTGCTTGGAGTTGGGGAAAGGGGGAGATTAGCAATGGAATATTGTCTTTCCTCCATATTCAAAGCCTCTTTTCTTATTGCTGTGCTAAAATCAGGTACTCTGATCTCTCACCTGGTTGCCTTAGCTCTTGTGAAGGTATTTCTGTGCTTAGTTGTTCAATTTTATTTTTCTGTGGAGGAGATGATTTCTGGAGGGTCCTATTTCACCATCTTGCTTCACTCTTCCCTCAATTAAAGATTATTTCCCAAAGCATCCTTCTGATTTTCCTGGAGCTGACTCTCCTGTCTCCATCTTTAAGGGTTTTTCATATTAAATATTTAGCCTTAAATGGCTTTAAGTTTTGGAAGATAAATTTCTCTTGGGGAAGGAGCAGAAACAACCCTTGTATTCATATACAAAAGAGAGGGAGAGGAAAGCCCTGTCCACTTCTCTCCAGGTCTCCAGGGCTGAATTCTCTTGCCATGAGCTTTGCTCACTCCACTTAGACCTGCTGGGAAGTGGGCACAGATGACAGAGCCGGGACTGTTTACCATTTAGGCCTCAAGGTTTGCTGATATCTCCTCTCCATAGTTTTCCTTCTGCCCGTTCTCTCCTTTCATAGGATTTGAGTGATGTAGCTCTGCCTGTGGAAACTATCTACCTCCTACCACCTTCTCCATCAAATCTTCTGCGCTCATATTTATTTGTCGTGTGTGCTCCTGGAGTCTCCAAATTGACTGAGGTGGTTCCTCTTGTGCCTATTTGGGATACAGACTGGCTGGAAGTTTCCAAACGCCCTGTGAGAAGCTGCGTCTGTAAGATAGATGTCTTGGTACACCATGGTCTTTCCACAGTCTCTCTTGGTCTCTGTTTTCTTGGCTGGGCACTAAATTCGATAACTAATGATGAGTGAAAAAAGAGTGACAAGGAATTGAAGAATACTTTCTTCACTTTATGTTTTCATGGATCCAAGGCATGCCCCAGCCAACACAGCAGATAAAGCAGGACATTGAGAATTTCAGTGCTCCAGTGGGGGTTCCAGCAGGAGGCACCCAATAATCACTACAGAGTGAGCTCTAACCATCCTGCTCTGGCGGGCAGGAGACTAGGAATCTGCCTTTTCTGCTCTGAATGGCACAGATGCATCTCTAGTGCGTCTAGGGGGACAGTTTGAGGAAGGTAAATTTTAGAAAACTGTGGCCATGTTTGAAAGACTGGAGAGAGCTGAACTCACTGAAAGGCTTCTATTACTCTATGAGCAGAGAGACAGGAGGCTATAGAAGAGATAATCATAGTGAAAGTTGTGAGGATCCAGAGTAAACAGGAGGGAAAGGGAGACTTCATCCTATAGGAAGGGCCAGGCCAGGACCATCCTTCAGCACAGCAGTCCCAGGTACCACAGGCTTGTGAAGCTAAACCTGTCTGACCTCACATTTGGTAATGACACCTGATCTCTGGTCAGATGAGAGAGGCAGCAAGTGCTGACTCCAGGTTCTGTATAAAGTCTGATCAGTCATGCAGAACGACGGACATTGCACCAAAGGTCAATAATATTTTAACGAATAATATACCTGTAGCATTTATGTATTGCATTTTGTTATATAAGAAACAATTTCAGGCCAGGTGCAGTGGCTCACGCCTGTAATCCCAATACTTTGGGAGGCCGAGGTGGGTGGATCACGAGGTCACGAGTTCAAGACCAGCCTGGCCAAGATACTGAAACCCCATCTCTACTAAAAATACAAAAAATTAGCTGGGTGTCGTGGCAGGAACCTGTAATCCCAGCTACTCAGGAAACTGAGGCAGGAGGATTGCTTGAACCCAGGAAGTGGAGGTTGCAGTGAGCTGAGATCATGCCACTGCACTTTAGCCTGGGCAACAGAATGAGACTCCGTCTCAAAAACAAAACAAAACAAACAAAACAAAACAAAAGCACTTTCTCTATTGGTTCATTTAAAACATTTAATCACACTAAAATGATTCTTAAATAATTTCGCAGATGAGAATTGTGAGTTTCGGATTGGGGAATCATTTGTCCATAGTCACAATTAATCAGATTCATGACATAATTGCTTGCATGTGGTTAGTTCACAGATTTAATTAAAATACCTGGGATCAGAGTTTACTTATAGATTTTCAAGTCTTTTAGAATCAGCAGTCAGTAGTCACCTTTAGCATCTCATTGTAGAATGGTCAGGATATTTACACCACACCTTATGTCATGTCCTCATGGTAAAATTTATCATGTATTTAGAGTGTATTCATCTCTGTGAATGTATCTGAAAGGCATATGCCAAGTCAGCCTGGAGAATATTTGACTGGGCCCTAAGCAGATTTTGACCTTTTAGTATACACAGCTACCTTTTCCCAGTGGAAAGGGAGATAGTCCTTGACCATTTCCTGTGGACGTTGCCAGAGATGGTGCAGGCTGAATAAGAATGCCCACCATCTGTCCAGGAACCAGTGTCCTTCAAGGATGTTGCTGTGGACTTCACCAGGGAGAGTGTGTCCTGCAGAGAAAGCAGCACAGAGGTGCTTTGCTAGAGAGGCATAGCCATCTGTGCATGGGATGTCTGTGGCTGACACTTCCAAACTCGTGTATTTAATACAAAGTCATCCAGAACACTTTCTCCGTATTCCACCCTGCCTGTATCCTGATTCCTAGACTTCCTTACATGTGCACGAAGGAAATTTGTTTATTCACATATTTACTTACTCATTCACTGACTGTGCAATGATGAGGGGGCACTGGCTCTGGGAAGGGAGGTTGGAGAAGGAGGCAGAATGCAGTTTGGGGTTAAGGCTCGGTAATGGAAGAGAGACTGGGAAGCTGAGGACCAGGAGCAAGGAAAAGCTCTACTCAGCCTCCCCTGGTGATGCTATGCTCACCAGGGGCTGGCAGGACCTGCAGGTTTGTGACCTGAAGTGGAGGGTCAGTGCAGCCACATACCCAAGGCAGGCACCTAATGTGTGGGCTTCACTAGGAAGGACGGTGTCCTGAGGACAGCAATAGAAATAGCGCTCCTGTTGTCTCACATTGGAGTTTCTTGTTCCTACATTCTCCTGTCCCAGTGAACAGCATAGGACCATCCTTCCCACATGCTGAGTTCCTTCCCTTTTGGCACAGGAAGGGGTGTGTTGATTTGAAGCCCTAAAATAAATATTCTCAGCACTCAGGACCGATTTGTCAATACTGATTGTACCTAAGAAAGTACCCTGGAGGAAGAGAAAAGGAGGAAGCGTCAGAAATGGCACCTTTCCTTATGGAATCACGGGTCTGTCTCCATCCTGCAGTGCTGTGTTTAGGACTTGCTCATCTTCTCCGACTCTGCAGTGTCCTGCCTCACACATTTGCTCACATTTACCGAGGGCCTGGCTTCAGCCCTCTCCCATCTCCTTGTCACAGCCTCCCAGTGAAGAGCTGTGAAGAGCTTCTGTTTGGGGCATCATCCTTGGCAGGGCTCCACCCCAGACCTAAGGTGGCAACGAAGAGCAGATCCTGTGTGGTCAGTGGGGTTGGGCTGCAGCAATTGTTCAAAGTCCACATCTGGATACACTGTCTGCTCTTTGTGGTCCAGGATTAAAGAAACAGCACACATCAGTGCTGTATTAATGGCAGGAAGAGCTGGAAAATTCAGGACAAGGAAGATTTTTGAAAAGGAAACTGCTCTGCCTAATGCTGCAATGAACTTGAAGCTAAACCGAGTGAATCAGTATACTTTTGACTTTAAACTAGTAATTACAATTTTAGAAATACAATGGAAAAGAATATTCAAAACCTGATACTAATGAAAAATAAAGGTTCCACTACATTTAGATAATAAAGGGTGTTTTTTTCTATCATTGCTTTAAAAAAGTTGAATCAACCTAAATATCTAATGCTAGCAAGTTGTTTAAATCATTGACAGCACATCCATCTCAATGAAATTTTGTTCATGGAGGTACTCTCATTCATCTTTTGTTAAAGAAATTTAAAATTCTGCTGAGACGTTGAAGCAGACAACTTTCTTAACCATCCAGAGGTTGAAGCAAAATTCTGGTTATTAAATATTATTTTTCTTGTAAATAATATATATATTTATTTTGTGGTAAAATTATTAACAGTGACACAGCTTTGATACTAAGGAGTAAAACACCCTTCCTTGTCACATCCTCCACTACCAATCATTGTCTCAACCAGGAGCCACTGTCATCATGGTACTACATATTAAAATATTTGCTTTTAAGGTCTGTGTTGGAGTATTTTCTTACTTAGGACATATGGGTACTATACAATTTTTACTATTATAAATAATGTCACTGTGGATTCTGTGGGCTGTGATGATGTCATGGCAGACGTCAGGTTTTTTCTGGGTTGGGCAACTTGAAGTGTGAGTGTGGGGCCAAATTTTTGATACATTCTGGAAAGATCCCTTTCACAAAGCTGCAAAGATAGTCTCTCCCACCAAAGATGTGTGCTTTCCCTCCTGCTTTAACCGATACCTAGTAAGACACTCTTTTATTTTTATTTTCTTTGTTTTTTGATCTAAGGTCTCACTCTGTTACCCAGGCTGGAGTACAGTGATATCAACATAGTTCACTGTAGCCTCAACCTCTTGGGCTCAAGTGATCCTCCCACCTCAGCATCCTGAGTAGCTGGAACCACAGGCATGTGCCACCATACCAGGATAATTACACACTCTTTTACATACAGGATAATTACGTTTAAGTTGTGAAAATAACATGTTTTCTTTTGTATTCCTACTTATTTGACTATATGTAAGCCTGGCATTCTATGTGTGAAGTTTATTTTCATTTTTGGGTCATTTTTTGAGTCATTGTTTATTTTGTTTTAAGTAGTATTAAGGTCATTTTATTTCAATATTGTTTGGTATGTGTTTTGTATTTGATTCATTTAGAAGTTTAAGATAATACATCGTATTAGTCTGTTCTCACACTGCTAATAAAGACATATCCGAGAGTGGGTAATTTATCAGGGAAAGAGGTTTAATTGACTCACAGTTTCACATGACTGGGTAGCCCTGGCAATCATGGCTGAAGGCAAATGAGGAGCAAAGTCATGTCTTATATGATGACAAGTAAGAGAGCTTTTGCAAGGGGAATCCCATTTATAAAAGTGTCAGATCTCATGAGACTTATTCACTCCCACGAGAACAGTATAGGGGAACCACTCTCATGATTTAATTATCTCTACCTAGCCCCGCCCATGACACATGGGATTATTACAATGCAAGGTGAGATTTGCGTGGGGGCATAGCCAAACTATATTATACATATAAGTTTCTATCAAACTTGACAAGCCCTCCATTTTGTTTCCTTTTACTATAATTTTGTCTCTTGATTAATACATAAGAGACTTTTTTTGAAATATGTTGACTTCAGGTTTAAAGTACACTAAATTTGTGTCGTAAAGATCTTTATTTTACTACCTTTTCTGATCCAAGGATTTGATTTGTCTTAAAACATGTCTTTTTTTGTGTGTGTCATTCAGTAAAGTTTTATGAGTTTTTGCAGGCCTAGACATGTCTTGTAAATGTGTACTTTGGTACATTTGATAATCAAAATACACGTTGATTGTCTGTGTTATGCTGTTGTTATTCCTGTTGTTCATCCATTATTACTACTGAAGAGTAGTATGTCGACCATGCATTTACCCAATTTTCTGGATGTTGTGTTTCTAACAGTTCATGTTCTGCACGTTAAAATAGATTTTCTTCCTTTTCTAGTTTACATCCATGTCATCTGTGAACAACTACAATTCAGATTCTTTGAATCAGCTTCTTTCCTGTTTTTCTTCTCTTCCTTGTTTTGGTTCCTACTCAGCCATCTCACACAGTGGTGAATTGTGAGAGCCCAGTCCCCTCCATCTTTTAACTTTACCTTTATTGAAATACTTCTAATGTTTTTTCTTGATTAGTATATTTGCAGAATTTTCCTTTTTTACTAAGAATTTTTAAATTATGCTATTTTGCATGTGTAATCATCAAATACTTTATTCTAGGATCTAATGTTGTAATTTTTCCTTCTTTAATTTTTTGACTTAATGCATAAAGTTTGAATTGTAAATTATTGTTTTATTAGCAGGATAACATTCAATTTATATTAATGGCTAAATTTAAATGGATTACATTGTTTATGTTTTTGTTTGTTTGTCTCTGATGGGGATTAAAGCCAAAATATTCTATATGTTTTATTTTCATTTAATATGGTTTTAAAATGATCAAATTAACAAAATGAACAATCTTACAATATTCCCATTGCACAGAAACTCTATCTGATGTAAAATTTATGCACACTCATGCTGAAATAAATCAGATCTTACCAGGTTCCCAATAAAGGCCAGGGTAATCTTTAAATTTAAATATAAATATTGGTTAATTATATTTCCTTCTTTTTCTTAATATACTCTGTATTAGAAAACTTTAACATTGACAGCAAAATTAAACAAAAGGTATGTTGCTCTTGTGTACACCTTACCCCTCTGGAAGTTATCAGAATCAAAATGGTTTCACTAAGACTAAGAAAACCTGGGCAGGCCGGGCGCGGTGGCTCAAGCCTGTAATCCCAGCACTTTGGGAGGCCGAGACGGGCGGATCACGAGGTCAGGAGATCGAGACCATCCCGGCTAACACAGTGAAACCCCGTCTCTACTAAAAAAATACAAAAAACTAGCCGGGCGAGGTGGCGGGCGCCTGTAGTCCCAGCTACTCCGGAGGCTGAGGCAGGAGAATGGCGTAAACCCGGGAGGCGGAGCTTGCAGTGAGCGGAGATCCGGCCACTGCACTGCAGCCCGGGTGACAGAGCGAGACTCCGTCTCAAAAAAGAAAAAAAAGAAAAAAAAAAAAAAAGAAAACCTGGGCAAATAGACCCAAGAAGACCATCATTAGAGGATTGTTATGTTTATATGTCTGATAACAAAAACTATCAGAAAAGACTAAAAAAACCGCAACCTTGCACAAAGGCCATTGCAGCCTTACACAGAAAAGACACCTGCAGTGACACAGGCCCAGAAACTGCTGGTCTAACCTCAGACTCATCACTCTTGTTACTGATCTTTGCAGCCAAGAATAATTAATTCAAAAACAACTATGCAATCCTCCACATTAAAAATTTTGTTCTTCTTTACCTCTATTAATATGCACATGGTTTACTATGACATTTACATTCTCATTACAATAATCTATTCCACGTAAATATTTTTTACTTGAGAGACTCTTTGTTTGCTGTTTAGGTTTACACATATGGTGTCTTAAATGGGACCTGCAAAGTTTACAATTGGAAGGAATTGGTGATTCTTGGAGCATGCATGCAGTCTTCACTTTATACCCTTTAGCGCTCTGCTTCTATAAGTCACCCTTTCTGCCCTGGTGAGTCTTCTTTCAGTTTAAACCTCAGTTATTTGATACATGATTTTTGGTATGTTGAGGTCTGGTTTGAATAAGGCTCCTTTAATAAAAGACCATATATCCCTCCTAGAACAATGAAAGCTTTTTTGTCATTTCTGGTAAGTCCTTTCTGCTATAAAGACAAACATCTTTCTGGATTGTGTACTCTTGGTTTCTACAGAACTTACCTTCTGTTTGTGAAGCATTTATTTTCTAGTTTGCACACATAGTTTTATATTTTGTTTGATTTACACAGCAAGGTTATATTTTATATGAACGTTTTTATCTTGGGCTCCTTTGAATTTGTTTGAGGTTTCCCCCTTACTTGTTTCTAAAAAGTGACACTAGCTTAGTTGCCACTATCTAAAACACTGGGCTAACCTCCTGGCATTTTCTTACAAGATTTATAGAATTTCCTTTGCTCTCTAGATATTAATAAGAAACAGAATAGGATTCTCAAACATTCAGATATGCTAGGTTTCTTGAACTCCTCATGGCTACATAGTATGATGCTTCTTTTGGACATTTTAAAATAAAAAGGCAAAATTACATCAGGAAAATTTAGGGCTTAAATGGTTATTATTTTAAAAACTCACAACTATAGAGTTAACATATGGAGTCCTCTAAGTTCTCTATTTTTTTCCTGCTTACTCTGTATCTGCTTGCTTTTCTACTGTTGTTGAGATAAAACTCACTGCTTATGGTATTCCAGCCAAGATGTGTGTTTTTTTTTTTAAATTATACTTTATGTTCTAGGATACATGTCCACAACATGTAGGTTTGTTACATATGCATACATGTGCCATGTTGGGGTGCTGTACCCATTAAATAGTCATTTACATTAGGTATGTTTCTTAATGCTATCCCTCTCCCCTCCCCCTACCCCACAATAGGCCCTGGTGTGTGATATTTTCCTTTCTGTGTCCAAGTGATCTCATTGTTTAAGTCCCACCTATGAGTGAGAACATGCGGTGTTTGGTTTTCTGTTCTCGCTATAGTTTGCTGAGAATGATGCTTTCCAGCTGCATCCATGTCCCTACAAAGGACACAAACTCATCCTTTTTCATGGCTGCATAGTATTCCATGGTGTATATGTGCCACATTTTCTTAATCCAGTCTGTCGTTGATGGACATTTGCGTTGGTTCCAAGTCTTTGCTATTGTGAATAGTGCCGTAATAAACATACATGTGCATGTGTCTTTATGGCAGCATGATTTATAATCCTTTGGGTATATACCCA